GGCTCCCTCCCCCTCCCAGCTGAAATGTCCCTCTCTCCCTAAAACCTCTCAGGCACTTCCACAGAAACCTTGGGATGCACTCAGCTTCCCAAATGCCGTCTCTTCCTTATCGCAAATCTGACAGCTCTTCAGGCTGTCAGGGCCTAAGAGAAACCACACAGAGCCCCACCCTCCCTAACTGCAGAGTAGCTGAGAGCCTGTCACTCTCCCTCCCCAGCCTCAATTTCCACACTTCTAAGCACTCTTCCAGTTCTGACATCAGAATTCCATGATTAAGGGCTGTGCTTCTCCTCACCACCCCCAGGGTCAGCTGAAGGTCAAGGTGGCCCGTGACAAAGCCCCTCCCGGCAACTCTGTAGCGCTGCTTCCTGGGAGCTGAACTTGCTTATTCTGCTCACTGCGGAGAGACCTGGGCCCAGGACCACCCCCACAGGCCAACTCAGTAAGGGCAAAGCCATCAGAATCTTCCTTAACAGGACTGCCAGGTGCATAAAGGACCCACATCGCGGACTTATTTTTATTACTTGGCTGTGGGGAAGGGCAAAGCTTCTTCATGACCACACTATTTTGCAGAGGTCGGCCCTGCACAGGAAAAAATAGGGTACTGATTCCCAGAGAGCATACAGAGCTCCTGTCATTGTGTTAATTATCTGTCCCAGCACAGGGTGGGAAAGGCAGGGGAAACATCTGGACGAGGCCAGACCAGCCGTTTAGCATTGCTGGAGAGCGCGTCACAGCACCAGGTTGGCAGCAATAAAAAGAGTTTAGACAGCCCCCATCAGAAGAAAGGGACAGCCCTCAAGGTCGCTAGGATGGAGCTCTGCTGAGTTGCGCCTGTCCCTGGCTGCCTGCAGGGAGGGGAGAATGGGGCCAGATGCAGAGGGAAGGGGAAGCCGCTCAGTCTGACGGCAGAGTCACTCCCCACTCCCCAGACACTGCTGCTCAAGCAACCCCAGATAAAAACTGCCCCATAACTCAGGGAGATGCAGCCTCTGCCCTAACTGCTGCTTTTAAGTACAGCCACACCCTTCCCGCGGCCAAAGCAGACTTGCCCAGCAGCCAGGTCGGGGGTTGGAGCAGGAGCCAAAGCCAAGGACCCTCGCGGCCTCAGCTGCTTCCTGGGGAGCAGTCACAGCTGCAAACATGATAAGGCTGTGGGTCACGCACCATCTACCTACAACAGCAATACACAGGCCATCTGGAGGCTAAGGGACAGATGGAGGCCCTCAAAGACCATGCCCACCTTAGGTGTACCTTAGGCCAGCAGGCTGCATTTGCCTCAGCTGCCTCTCCCATTGCCCCCAAGCCCGCCCTCCTCGAGGAGGTCTCAGGCCACCACCATCAGCCAGGCAGAAAGCTCTGGTCTCCAACCTAAGTCATCCTCAGCCACAGGCCTCCCATAGGCCCTTATAAAATCAATGAGACAGGTCTGACCAGGGCTGACAGAGCCTCTTAGGGGGCCACATTTGCAGCCTGCCCATGGTCACGTTTTAACCCAAACCGAGCCCACAGACTTGGCCTTCCCAAGGGGCCAGACTCTAGCCATCCATCCAACAGGCCCAGGAAGGGGGCTACTTACAGAAGGGACCACTTCATCCACACGAGCACGCACTGGGGAGTACTATGGATGGTGGTGAAGTAAAAATCAGAAAGGACGCATCTAAAGAAGCTAAAGAGGGAATTCCCAGGTGGTCCAGTGGTTAGGACTCGGCGCTTTCACTGCAGGGGCCCGGGTTTGATCCCTGGTTGGCGAACTAAGATCCTGCAAGCAGCACAGCATGGCCAAATCAATAAAGAAGCAGCTCTTGGGATTCTGAGACCCATGATGATCCACTAGGGCTTTACTGAGGGAGACGGTTATAACTAGTTTCCTTGTGTATTACATTACATGTTGTTTTGACAATTTTCTCTTCAATCAGTTGGAAGCCTCCAGTGAAATCCCTCACCTCAAAGAGCACCCCACTAACAAAGGAGCTTTGGGGGCTGTTGAGGCACCTAGAACCCCAGCCCCCATCATCACCACCCTCACATAACGAGGGCCCTGAGAGTAACCCAACACTAATATCTTGAAAGCCTGCTATGTGTCTAAAATGATACTAAAGTTTTTTAGAGATCCTGTCTTATTTAATTTGTACAACTCTATGATTGTTATCATGGGTTACCTTTTCAGAAACGAGGAAACGGGTTAAGTAACTTGCCTGCTAGTAAGTGATAGAACTGGGAGTGAAACCTCAGTCTCCACGTTCTTAAACACTATGCTGCCCTGCCATGGAGGACAGCTGCGGAGCTGGCAAGCTGATCTGAGTGTGGCTTCAGAACTGCAGAGGCCTCACAAGACTAGCCCCAGTTCTCAAGACTCTGGCAGCAAAGAGAGTAGTGGAGGGCTGTGAAGGGCCAGCTCATTTCATGAGGAGCTCTCATACTTCTGTGAGTACCCTGCCACCACAGTCCTGGGGCTTTCCAGGACTACGCTAAGTTCTGTATTACCTCCTCCTATCACATGAAAGGCTCCTCTGAGACAGGGGACATCTCCCAGATCACAGCTACCAGGCTACTAAAACCTCACTCCACCATCACTGCTGTTCACTGACCACCAGGCATATCCAGGAACTGCACTAGATGCTCTAATTACATACGCATTTCATCCATTACATCAATCCTGTCAAGGTATAAATTAGCCCCATTTTACAGATGAGAAAACTGAGGCACCAAGAGTTTACTTGACTGGCCACAAGGTGGCAGGTTTGGAAGGGAATCTGCAACTCCACAGGCCCCTCCTCTTATCCGTGAGACTGCCTTTCCCCAATGGAGTTCTGTCTGGGCAACACAGGGCTATGATGTGCTCTCCTGGAGTTCTCTGCCACCATTATCCAAAGCTGAGGAGGGCACACCCCAGTCCTCTCCCCAATGGAAAATGTGCAGACTCACTATCTTAGCAGCTCACGCCAAGATGCTCCAGGAAAGGCCACCAAGGGTGGCCATGAGAGCCAGAGGTGGAAGGTGCAAACCGGAGTGGCGTCAGCAGCCCTCACCCTCTGTCAGTGGGCACGCTGTTTGGTCCAGTAAACTAAAAGATCAGGCTGATTTCACAGACTTTCCTGCTGCCCACTACAAGTCCCCCTCCTCCTGCCCCCTCCAGGTTCTATAAATAACCCAGGTCAATGCATCAGAGGAAAGGCAGCCAGGTGGGTGTGGAAAGATCCTGGTGGAAAAGATGACTTCTATAAAGTAAATAAGGCTCCCATTCAGATCAAGGGGACTGTCCTTGGCTGCTAACAGGCGCACATGGGCCGACAGACGTAGACAGCTCAGTTAAGGAAGAGCCAGAGGCCAAGAAGAAAGCAAGAGCAGGAACTGAAGAAAAAATCAAAGCCCCTCCCCCACCCCGTGCAAGTCACTGACCTCACAGAAGCCACTCCCCACAAGCTGAGACTTTTTCTGTCTGCCCCTTAGTCTCCCCTCTAGTGCCCCCCACCCCCAGCCCGAGATGTGTTATCTACCAGTCGGGTCAGATTAACTGAGAGGTGGAGACTGAAGGACTGGGAAAGAAAGGGGTGGAATGAATTTGGGGACAGGAGCCTCTTCAGAAGAAGAAAGGGCTATGAGAGCCAGAGGAGAGCTTTCTGCCTCACCCCCACCCCCTTGGGCTCCCTGAGCCAGGCAAGAGGGAAAGGACAGAAAAGGGGAGGAAAAAAACAAAACAAGGGCCAAACTATACCACATGATCCACACCCAGCAACCAAACAGCAAGTCATGAGGGAAGGAGAGAAGGCCAGGGGAGGGGGAGATGGAGCTAAGTCACAGCCCTGCCCAAACCTGCCCTATGCTAACCCCTTTCCCACCCCAGGCTGCAAAGAGCCATGAAGGCCTTCTCTACCCACATTTTTGAAATGTTCAAGGTCAGATCCTTTTCTATCCAAATCCTGCTTTCATTTGGGTTTGTACCAGGCTCATCCTTCTCCAGCAAGCCTTCCTAGATTTACTCAGTTGGATGCCATTCCACTTGGGTAAACCTTTCCAGCAACTGTCACCAACCCCTTACCCTCCCCATCCAGGGCCCATGGGCCTAGGGGTGGCGTCACCCCACTTAAACACTTGAGTGACCCAGGGCAGGTTGTCAGCCCTGCGGACAGGCTTCCGGATCCTGCCCAAGCCCAAAACAGGAAATGAGGCTCCAAGCCTGAAGCCTTGATCTTAACACAGGGAAAGTTAAACGCTGCCAAAATAAATGATTTTTTAAAACCCACTGGTAAACCCTCTGGCCCTTCTAGGTTTAACTGACTGGGAGATTGTCTCCTGCTGTCCATTAAGCACGTGCTGCCTCCACCTCAGTCAAGATGCTTGAAGCCTGATTAAAGCGTTTCCTTCCTTTACTGAAAGGGTCTCCTGTTCTCAGACCAGAGACACAGAAGGGAAGAATCGGGGGCGTCTCTAAGCAACAGAGGGCATCCCAGTACCAGGCAAGAAGCAGATGCCCTCTGCAGCCTCTAGATTTGGTGGGGCGTCTCCGTTCATCCTCTGCCCTCCTCGAGGACAACACGGCACCTTCTTTCCCCCACAGGGCGAGGCAGGGCCTTCCCATTCCCCTGCGGGCCTGGTGTGGAACAGGCGCCCGAAGGCAGTTCCCTCCCCTTCGAGGAAAGTGAAACACGCCCGGAGGCCCTGGGAATGGCCACAAGATTTTCCTTCTTGAGTTTCCCACAGTCCAAGAGCCTCTGGATCCCACTCCTAACTTTACTTGACAATCTACTCCTAACAATAGGCCACCATTCTCACCTCCCCCCGGCCTTCCAAGGACACACCAGCGGCCAAGCACAGCCCAGCGCACATCTGGGATCGGAAGGAGATTCCGTTATGCGAAGAACCAACTTGTCGGTTTATGCCCTTGAGCGCTAGGCAAAAGGTCGCACCGCCCAGGCCGAGGTTCGGGGTCCTGCGTCTCCCCAGCCACGCCCCAAGAGGCCCTTAACCGTTTCCGCTCCCGCGCGCCCCTCACTCACTGTGTGTGCTGGGCGCGGCCTGCGCCGAAGACCTCGTCCAGCGCCACCACGGCCTGGCCCAGGAACTTGTCGACGCCGATGAGCGAGCGGTGCATGGTGGTAAGCACTAGCTGGCAGGCGGCGGCGGAGCCCGCGGCCCAGGGCGCCGGGCCCGCGTCGGTCTCCTGTGCCCGTAGCAGGCCGTCCAGGGCGCCGGGCGGCAGCTCGAAGGAGCACTCTTCGCGCCACTCGGGGCATCCCAGCGTCTTCTCTACCACCGACGTGCTGTACTTCTCACGGCCCACCTGGATCACCGTATACGCGTCGCTGGTGCTGCCCGCGCCCGAGCTCTTGCCCCGCAGCCCGCGGGCCCGCAGCACAGTCACCTGGACGTGCGTGGGTAGCCAGCGGGAGGGCCCAGCCGCCGTCTCGGCGCCCCGTACCAGGGCCATGGCGGGGGAAGCGGCGACGGGTGAGGGCTGGCCGAACCAGGCGTGGACACCCGGACCAAGTGAGAAACTGGGCAGCGGCGGAGGGCGGTCAGGATCCGGCTCGGAGCGCCGCCGCCGCCCACAGACTCGGCCGCCGCAGCTGCGGGCTGGGCTGGGCCGAGCCGGCCGCTGCCTCCCCGCCTCCCGGCTGCCGGCCGCGCCGCGACGTCAGCGCCCCGCCTCCCGCCCCGCCTAGCGGCCGGCGTCCCGCGACTCGCGACCTAACCCGTACCCGCGCCGAGGTGCGGCAGAGCTTGGGGATGGTGGCCCGCACGCCCTCGCCCCGTCTGCTGCAGACCAGCCTGGAGCTGGAGGGTCGCTGAGCGCCGCGAGGACCGTGGGCGGGGCGCAAGGCCTCCGCGGGGGTAGGGGGGGGCTCCCGCGTTGGTCCCCAGGAAACCCCGCCTCGCCTGCAGGCAGCGCGGCACCCTCGGCCGGGTATGAAATGCCCGCTTCGCGTCTCCCGGCCAATCCCAAGTCGTCCTTCAAGACGTCCCTGCTCCGGAAAGCTGTCGCCGTAAAACTGCCCCGCCCCGTCCCTCCCGGCATGGCCATCCCCTTGGCGCTGGCCAGTGGGAGCGATGCGGACCAGGGCCGCTCCCCAGTCTCGAGCGGCACTCCCCCTCCTCCAGCCCGCCCCTGCCCGGGAAGATGCCTGCGTGAAACCAGAAGTGATTCACGCTGCGCCACGTGATGGCCCCGCATCAGCGACCTGAAAGCGGGTGAGCTGCCGCTGTTTCCCTCCTCCGCGCGCGGGAGGAATCACGTGTGCAGCCAGAACCTGGCGCGGGAGTCCAGGGAGCAGGGCTCGCCCTCTGCGGACACTGCGGCGGAGAACAGAGTGATGAACAAATGAGTAACCACATCAGTATTTAAGTGTTCCCTCGGACCGCTGGGGCTTATGCGTCACGAGTTGGGGGAAATTATAGGCTCTGGTGGAGGTTTTAAACAATTACTTACACCCATTAAGTGCCTACTATGTGCAAAGCCCTGGGTATTACTTGCACGCTTGGTTTATTATTAATAATGATAACAATGGTTAATAATTACAGATGCTGAATTTCGGTCAATGCTGGTCCGTGTGCTTTACATGCGTTACCTCATTTTATCCCCAAAACAACCCTGTGGGGTAAGTATGGTTTTTATCCTTATTTTCAGGAAGGTAAAATTGCAGCTTAGGGAGGTTAACCTGCCCAAGATCCGTAACTGGCAGAGGTGGGATGTGAATCCACACAGATGACCCCAAAGTCTGTACTTTTCTTTTTAACTTTCAGAGCCTGTATTAAAAATAGTATTTTTAAAAAGACATGTAACACACAGCTAAAAACAAAATAAAGTAAAAAAATCAAATGGGACAGAAACGCTTATGATGAAAAGCAAAAAATTCCCTTTCCACCCCTCATTCCAGGGATAACCACTTAAAGCCATTTGTGTTTTCAGGCCTGGTAGTTACCTCCATATTTCTACATAAAATGCTTACATAACTATATCTAGAGTTTTCAGGACTGGCCATTATCTATTGTCTTCCTCCTATGATAGATAATGATGTAGCTCACACCCACTTCCCTCCCTCAATCCTATGTAGTTATGCTTTTTTTTTTTTTTTAGTTCCTCTATTGGATACCTTGACAGTGGAAACCTTTATTTCTTCTTGGGGAGACTCTCCACAGTACCTCTTGACTTTTTTATGCTGTGAAAGGAGGATGCCAAAATCCCACTTTCCGGGCCATGTCCCCTACCAGGAATATGGTTGTACACCGGGCACCCGAGACTCATGGGAGCATATGCACCAAGGCTCAATCCTAACAACCTTCCACCTTAACTGTGATCAAAATGGGGTGGAGGATTTCTCCACACTGAGCCCCATAGCCCAGCATCCCTGTGGACAGCACCTAGCTTTGGAGACAGCCAGATCTGCCTAAGGATCTTGGCTCTCTGCCACTTAGCAGCAATAAGACCTGAAGATTAAGTCAGCTCTCTAACCTCTCAGCCTTCTTTCCTGATCTAGAAAATGGGGATGATGATTCCTACTTGAAACAGTTGCTGAGAAGATGACATGAGAAAATATTGTCAAAGATTTTAACACAGTGGAAACCATCACAAATGATCTCAAAGCATCTGAAATTCATATATAGTTTTTTTTCTGATTATAAGTTATTTGGAAAATATAGAAAAATATAAAGAAGGAAATGAAAATAGATTCGAATATCACTGTTCAGAAATAAACACTGTTAACAATTTGTTGTATTGCTTTCCAGTCTTTACACTATATGTTGTTGTTTTATATGCATTATGGTTGTGAGGCAACTGTACTGTAATGGTTAAACCTGTGGGCTGTGGAATCCTGGTCCTAGCATCTACTTTATGTGTACTATCTCATTTACCCCTGAAGACAACCATTTAAGGCAAGTGCTGTTGCTACTCTCAGCTTCACGGATGAGGAAGCTAAAGCAGCTAAAGTTTGGGTGATTTTCCCCAAGTTTCTAACTGGAAAATTGCAGATAGTGGACTTGAACTCAGGTCTGAGTGACTCTACTGCCTCTGGTACTCTGCCCTCACACTAGCTTGTTGGTCACCTAAGCACTACATCATCTGAAGTCAATAAAGCGGGAAATGTTGTCATACCCATTTTACAGATGAAGAAATTGAGGTACAAAAAAGGTTAACAGACTTACCCAAGATTATAGAGTCAGGATGAAGCCCCTGAGAATGGATTCCCCAGGGGCTTTGCAAATGAAGATATCTTTACCAAACCACAGCTAACATATTTGTCACTGTCCTTTAATGGTTCTGTTTCATCTGTTTCTTAGCTCTTCAACATGACCAGACTGCCTCTTCCCTCCCGCCTCCCTCTGCCTCCCCCTGCCTCCCCCATGGAGTAGCAAGGCTCCAGGAACGGGCAAAAGAGAACTCAGATGGGCTACTCCCGCTCTCCTTCCTCCTGCCCTGGCCCTCATAGTTTGGCAAGGTCAGGCTTCCTGCTGACCTGAGATTGCAGTTGCAAGAGGGCAGTGAGGCCAGGAAGGGCTCCCCTGCAGGTCACTTGGCCCTAGGAGAAAGGGCGGGCTCTGCTAGCTGTCTGCAGTTGAGAAAAGAGCAGAAACTCTGAAGACACTGAGGTCTTGGTTACCTAGAGGTGTTTTCTCCTCTGGAAGATGAGACCACCCATCCCCACCCACTGCAGTTTGATGTGAGGGTTACAGAGAGGACCCTCCTACTTCCTCTTCCTCCCCAGGGCTGGATGTGTTCACCGCCTCCCTGGGCCTCTCTAGTCCGTTAGGGACAGTTCTTGCTTTGAAAGAGTGGTCCTTTGTGTAATTTCCACTCATTGCTTCCCTCTGCAACATCATAACCCTTCCAGACAGGCACTTCAAATATATTTGCCTGACTCTTCAAGCTATGTTTCCTCCTGTGCTTCGCCCTCCCTCCCACATCTGTTTTCTAGGCCCTTCACTGTAATAGAGTCACACAGCCCGGGTTCAAATCCTCGTGCCACGACTTACTAGCAGTATGAGATTGGGCAAATTACTGAACCCCAGAGTCTCAGTTTCCACGTTATAAAATGGGCCTAATAATGGGAAATCACTTCATAATGTTAGCATGAGAGCTATCTCAACATACTGTAAGCAGTGATGAGTAATATCATCTTAGAAATCTTTGCTCAAAGCAAAAGGTTGTACCTCCTTATTGTTTGATTTGCATTTCTTCGATTGCTAATGAGATTGAACATTTTTTCAGTTATTAGTCATTTATATTTCCTCTTTTAGTGAGTTGTCTATTTTCTGAATTGTCTATTTTCTATGCCCATTTTCTTTGAAACCTTAACTTATTCACTTATATTAACCCTTTCTATGTTAATAATAACACTTTGTCTTTTATATTTATTGCAAATATGTTTTGACATAAGTTAAGTAGTCAAGTCGTTGAATTTCTTCCATTGTTTCAAGCTTAGGTTCTTCCACACTCACAGGTCCAATAAATATCCATTCATAGTTTTTCTAGTTTTTAAATTGTTTGGCTTTTTCTTTGTTCTTTCATTCTCTTTAAATTCTTCTAGAAACTATTTTGGTGAATGATTTGAGGTGAAAATCTAACCTTCTCTCCCCAGCAGCTATCCAAGTTTCCCAATACTTATTGAAAAACCCTATCCCTTTGCCACTGATTTTCTCATGTAAGTTTTTATATACATACTATAGAGAGAGTCTGAACTTTGTACTCTAGTCCACTGAGATTTATATCTTTTTGTCAGTGCTATTCTGTTTTAATTATTGTTGCCTTTTAAATGCTTTATACAGCAGAAGAGAAAATCTTTACTTATTTCTTTTTCTTCAGAGATTTTTATAGCTACTCTCACCTGTGTATTCATCCACATGAGCTCTAATGCTTTTTGGAATTGTGAGAGAAATTGTTTTGAGAAAAATTGACATCTTTACAAACAACAGCCATACTCTGGACTTCTATTTAACATTGTGCTGGAGGTTCTAGCTAGTGCACTTAGGCAAGAAAACAAAATAAAACTATCCAGATTGGAAAGGAAGAGTAAAACTATCTCTTTGCAGATTACATGACCTTGTAAATAGAAAATCCTAAGGAATCCACTAAGAAATTATTAGAACTAATAAATGGGTACAGGAAGGTTACAGGATACAAGATCAATGTATTAAAATCAATTGTATTTCTAAACACTAGCAATGAAAAATTAAAACAATTCCATTTATAAAAGTATAAAAAAGAATAAAGTACTTAGAAATAAATAGAATATAACAAAAGAAGTATAACAAAAGAAAACTACAAAACATCATTGAAAGAAATTAACAAAGACTTAATTAAATGGAAAGATATCTCACTTTCATGAATTGGAAGACTTAATACTGTTAAGATGCCAATACACCCCAAATTGGCCTGCAGATTCAACACATTCCCCATCAATATCCCAGCTGCTGTTTTTGCAGAAATTGACAAGCTGATCCAGGAAATCATATGGAAATGCAAGGGACCCAGAATAGCCAAACAAGTCTTGGAAACGAAAAGCAAAGTTGGAGGATTCACACTTCCCGATTTCAAAACTTACTACAAATCAAGACAATGAGGTACTGGCATAAGGATAGACATAGATCAGTGGAATAGAATTGAGATTCCAGAAATAAACCCTTGTATTTACGGCTGACTGATTTTTCAATAAAGGTGCCAAGACCATTCCATAGGGAAAGAATGGTCTTTTCAACAAATGGTGTTAGGACAGCTGGATATTTGCATGCAAAAGAATTAAGTTGAACCCCTTTGCTACACCATACACAAAAGTTAACTCAAAATAGATCATAGGCCTAAATATAAACACTAAAACTATAAAGCTTTTTGAAGAAAATGCAGAAGTAAATATTCATGACCTTGGGTTAGGCAAAGACTTCTTAGATACAATACCAGAAGCACAAACAACCAAAGAAAAAATACATAAACTAGACTTCATGAAAATTAAAAACTCCTGTCCTTCAAAAGACACCATCAAGAAAGTAAAAAGACAACCTATGGGATGAGAGAAAAGATTTTTAAATCATATATGTGATAAGAGGCTAGTATCCAGAATATTTAAAGAACTCATAATTCAACAATAAAGACAACCCAATTAAAAAATGGGCAAATGATTTGAATAGATACTTCCCTAAAGAAGATATACAAATAGCCAATACATACACGAAAATGTATCAAAAACATTATTCATTAAGGAGATACAAATCAAAACCACAATGAAGTACCACTTCACTCCCTCTAGACAGATAATAACAAGTGTCGTCAGGATGTGGAGACTCTGGAACCCTCATACATTGCTGGTGGGAATATAAAATGGTACAGCTGCTTTGGAAAACATTTAGGCAGTTACTCAAATCGTTAAACATAGGAGCTACCATATGACCCAGCAATTTCACTCCTAGAAATATGCCCAAGAGAAATGAAAAATGCGTCTTACATAAAAAGTGTGCAAAGGGCTTCCCTGGTGGCACAGTGGTTGAGAGTCCGCCTGCCGATGCAGGGGACACGGGTTCGTGCCCCGGTCCGGGAAGATCCCACACGCCGCGGGGCGGCTGGGCCCGTGAGCCATGGACGCTGAGCCTGCGCGTCCGGAGCCTGTGCTCCGCAACGGGAGAGGCCACAACAGTGAGAGGCCCGCGTACGGAAAAAAAAAAAAAAGTGTGCATGAATATTCATTCCCAGATTCCTACCTCAAACCTACAAACCTATGACCACCTGCATTTTTCCTATCTCAGAGAAAGAGGTTTTCCTGTGTGCTCCATTTTCCTCTCTGTGCCTTGGGGCAGCCTAAGCTTTCATCTCCTCCTTCATTTCTATGTTTCTTCTCCACTGGTTCCTTCATCTCATCATATAAATATGTTCGTCTCTCCCAATAAAAACAGAGAAAACAACAACTCCCCCTCTCTATCAGTCTGTACGATGTCCTCCTTTCCTTCAGGTTTCCTGAAGATGATTTACCCTCCTCGTCTTTATCCCCTTCTTCCTCATTCACACCCCAAACCACAGCAGCCAGGCTCTCCAAGCTCCTACCCCATCTGTGATTGCAAAATTCCAGGCCCCTCCTTCAGGCTTTATCTTACTTGACCTCTCTTTGGCATTAATCACTCCCTTCTCCAAACTCCCTCAACCCCACTCTCTGCCTCTGGGCCTGCTCTTTTTTTTTTTTAATTTATTTTTATTTATTTGGCTGTGCCGGGTCTTAGTTGCAGCATGCGGGATCTTTAGTTGCAGCATGCGGGATCTTTTAGTTGTGGCATGCGGGCTCTTAGTTGCAGCATGTGGGATCTAGTTCCCTGACCAGGGATCGAACCCAGGCCCCCTGCACTGGGAGCACGGAGGGAGTCTTAACCGCTGGACCACCAGGGAAGTCCCTGGGCTCTTCTACGCGTTTACTCCTGCCTCTTCCTCCACTCACTACTTCTAGGTCTCCTTCAGGGGCTTCTCTTCCTCCCCCATTTCTTAACATTGGTTTATTTCTCAGCCCTCTTCTCTTTTCAATCCTCAGACTTTCCCTGGAGATTTCTTTGGAGAAATGGCTGATTCTAGGACTAGGGCAGGGAAAATACAAGATGAGCTTGTATGATTTTGTAAAGCCAGAAAACAAGGAAATCCTCAGGAAGAAAAGCAGGGGAAGTAGAAGGGTAGTGTCAAAAGAGCACAGACGCCAACATGAAAGAACTCCCAGTGGCCAGAGCTGGAACAATTTGAGTAATACAATATATCACAATAGTATTGGATTATAACCCATAAAATAAAATAAATATCCATGAGTCTAAAGTTATATTAATAAATGATTGAATGAATAAATAAGTAAATGAGGAGAAGAGAAAATTCTTCCTTACAGAAGAATTCTAATAGATACTGCCCCCTCCAAGAAGTGGAACTTAATTCCCCTCTCCTTGTGTGTGACTGGACTCAGAGACTCACCTTCAAAGAATAGAGTATGAAAAATGGAAATTTTACAGTGACAAAACCTGGCAAACACCACCTTAATCAAGTGATCTAGATCAACATCCCTGGTGATAAATCATATTGATTAGCATGTTCCCAACGCTATAAGGGCATTTCACCTCTGTGCCTTTCTAAAAACTCATAGCTGCTTTCTAAACAAGAGAAAGACAACAGACAAATCCAAGTTGAGGGGCATCCTTCAGAATACCTGAGTAGGACCCTTCAAAAGTGTCGAGGTCATGATAACCATCAGAGGTGGGAGGAAATTTATGAGACATGTCCTTCCTTGAGGGGACCTGAGCCGTGTACATCCCTAACACATCCCCCAAGTGCGATCCTTAAACACTAGGTTTTAGTTTTACCTGTTATTTTGAAGAAAAGACCTTTTAAAAATTAATTCGTTTATTTATTTTTATTGAGATATAGTTGATTTATAAGATTATATAAGTTTCAGGTGTACAACATAGTGATTCACAATTTTTAAAGTTTATACTCCTTTTATAGTTATTATAAAATATTGGCTATATTCCTTATGCTGTACAATCTATCCTCTTAGCTTATTTATTTTATACATAGTAGTTTGTACCTCTTAATCCCCTACTCCTATCTTGCACCTACCCCTTCCCTCTCCTCTTATAACCACTAGTTTGATCTCTATATCTGTGAGTCTGTTTCTTTTTTGTTATATTCACTCGTTTGCTGTATGTTTTAGATTCCACATATAAGTGATAACATACAGTATTTGTCTCTCTCTGTCTGACTTATTTCACTAAGCATAAGATCCTCCAAGTCTATCCATGTTGTTGCAAATGGCAAAATTTCATTCTTTTTTAGAACTGAGTAGTATTCCATTGTGTATATATATATATTTAACATCTTTATTAGAGTATAATTGCTTTACAATGGTGTGTCAGTTTCTGCTTTATAACAAAGTGAATCAGTTATACATATACATATGTCCCCATATCTCTTCCCTTTTGCATCTCCCTCCCTCCCACCCTCCCTATCCCACCTCTCTAGGTGGTCACAAAGCACCGAGCTGATCTCCCCGTGCTATGCGGCTGCTTCCCACTAGCTATCTATTTTACGTTTGGTAGTGTATATATGTCCATGTCACTCTCTCACTTTGTCCCAGCTTACCCTTTCCCTTCCCCGTATCCTCAAGTCCATTCTCTAGTAGGTCTGCATCATTATTCCCGTCTTGCTCCTATGTTCTTCTGACCATTTTTTTTTTTTTAGATTCCATATATATGTATTAGCATACGGTATTTGTTTTTCTCTTTCTGACTTACTTCACTCTGTATGACGGTCTCTAGGTCCATCCACCTCACTACAAATAACTCAGTTTCATTCCTTTTTATGGCTGAGTAATATTCCATTGTATATATGTGCCACAGCTTCTTTATCCATTCATCTGTCGATGGACACTTAGGTTGCTTCCATGTCCTGGCTATTGTAAGTAGAGCTACAATGAGCATTGTGGTACATGAC